CATTGGGCAGGTGACATTAGAGCAGTGACTTAGAGGTGAGGAATCAGCTCAACAGGTTAGGGGCCAGCGCTCCAGGCAGAGGGAACAGGAGGGCCCTAAGTCAGGAACGAGCCTGGCATGGTGGAAGGACAGCAAGGAGGCTGCCGTGACACAACCAGGTCTGCCTCTAAAGCCCTCACTTCGCAGCACCCACCGAGCACACTCGCCCCTCAAAGCCCCATTCAAATCCTTTCTCCTCCATGAAGCTCTCCCCAGAGCCCCAGTCCACACGACCCTTGCTCCTCTCTGGACAACCTCAGGACGCACCGTCGAGGTCACACAGCTTAGAAGTTGTTTTCAAATGGCTGTATCAGTTTTGCCTCCCCAACTAAACTCTAAAGCTTTCTGCATTTAGGAGACCATTCTTTGTACTTTTTTGTGACATCCATGGCACATGATTAGTAAATAATAAATACATGATGGATTTACTGGCTAAATGAGCAATTCTTAAAACATTTATATTTGACTTTGAAATGAAGGCACATAAATATGCAGGCACATATGCCTAGAATCGTCCCCCTATCTGGGACTGACCCCTCTCCAGGACCTGGCATTGATATCAAAAGAGGGGGACTGAGACAGACAGGAGGGATGGAACAGTGAGGAGGCTCCAGGTGATTATGACTTGTCTGAAAGGTGAATGCTTGGGCCACAGACACTTGAGAACAGATTTTTAAAACAGTACAGGGCAAGAAACAGATAATCTTGGTGCCTCCAGTAAAGAGAACTGAACAGTAGAGGGAAAAGGCAAAAAAAGATTTTTTTAAATTTTGAAACTTTCAAACTTTTAACCACTTGAATGTACTATTTGTTAAAAAAAGAAAAAAAAAGAAAAACAGTGCAGGAGGGACTGTCTTAGTAACAGTCTAACTAGGTTGACAAAGCTGACAAATGTTTCTCTCTCTCAATGGGTTTCCCAAAATTGTAAAGAAAAGCTGACATCCCCAGTAATCTGCAGCATTAATTAGAAAGATGTGATTTCACTTTGCAAGTAGACCTCACGTTTTCCAACCCACTTGGTGCCACCCAAGAAATAAAGGTGGGCAATGTTATAGGAAGAGCATTTCCCTTCCATCCCTCTGTTCTCGCCCTAAACCACAGACAAGACTTCATCTCTGGTCCTCTAGGGCACGGTTGGGGAGAACACTGCCCTTTCTCTCCTCTGTCTCTGGCTCTTCTCCATAGGAGAGGATGAGACTGGAAAGAGCAGGACAGTCATGACCATATTATCCAGGAACAAGGGCCATTCCAGGGAGCGGCGGCCAGCTTTGCCCCACCCCATCTGATCTGCAATTGGCCTCTCAGGTCCACATGTGCTCAAACCAGATGGATAGCTGTTTCCTCTCTCAATTAGTAAACAGATAAATTGGGACTGTTTCTGGCAGAGCTGGCCAGGTCTTGACCTTTCCACTGTGGACTGAGAATGATTAGGTGAAGACTGGGAAATTTTCAGAGGTTCTCCTCTGGAGAGGGAGGTGGAAGGCCTTGCCACATCCTTCAGCTTTACTAGTAATAAAGCTGATCAGCCTTTCACTGCGTGCACTCTCAATTGGTTAAGAACCTGCAGAAGGGGAAGGGTGATTAATTAGTACCCTCAGACTTCCAATACACTTGAACCCTCCTGATAAGGCAGCTTAGAGAAGCCCCTAAGATATTTAAACATTCGAACGCATCAGCACTATTCTATCTAGCGATAAAGACTAAAAGATGAATCTATAACCATTTTTCCAAGAAACACTGGCAAGTCTCATGGCTCTAATGTTTCACGTAAGAGTTTCAAGGAGATGGTTCCAACTAATACTCCAGAGTCTTCATTTTAACAAATAAGAAGTCAAATTATTAAACATACATTTTAATGCTGATGAAAATTTTCAAACTGGCATTGTGTATCGCCTGTGCTGAGGCACTGAGGACACAACATCACTTCACTGGTATTCCTGACAAAAATGCGTAACTTGAAATAGGTCATAAGGAAGCAATCAGACAAACCCAAACTGGGGGACATCTTACAAAATAAGGGGCTGGTACTCTTCAAAAATGTCAGTTTCAGGGAATACAAATGAAGACCGAGGAATGGTTGCAGATTAAAGGAGGCTAAAGAAACATGCCATGTCAAAGCAATGAGTGATCCTGGAGTAAAAAAAACAGTCACTAGAAAAGACACTTTCATGACAATTGGAAAAATTTTAATATGGACCGTATATCACATAACAGCCTTGTATCAACACGAAATTTCCTAGATTTGATAAGTTTATGATGTTGATGCACTTAATGTTCTTAGGAAATACTCACTGATATTGTCATGATCTCTGTAAGGGTTCAGCAAAAAACAAATAAGTATATTACATATCATATGTCATATCATAGATAGGCCTACATAGAGCAAATGTGACAAAATAGCAACAACAGGTTGATCTAGGTGAAGATACATGACAACTCATTATATCACTCCTGCAACTTTTCAGTAGATATGAAGCTTTTCAAATTAAGATGAAATTTTTAAAAAAGATACTCCCTACAAGATACTATAATTCTTATGTGTTCTTCAAACTTCGAGAGAGGATTAAATAAGTCTTGAGGATGCTGTAAAAGATAGAAAATAATTTTGTAACAAATCCCCCGTGTCTCAATGTACCAAGGCTGTAATTTAGGTCACCTCACATGGGGATCTAACTGTCTGAGTGACTGCTTTCCAACCTGCATGTCAAAAACAGACCTACGGATGTGCTGGGTAGAAGGTGGTGGCCCATAAACTGAGGCTTTCTTTGACTGGTTCCACTTTGGGGCCATTTGTCAGCCCTCCTCACTTTCTAGTTCTCCCTGGGCTTGCTTCCGTCCATCTTCTCCATCCCTGTTTCAGTCTATCACTATATTAAAAACACAACTGTGGGGCTGGCCCAGTGGTGCAGCAGTTAAGTGCACACATTCCGCTTCAGAGGCCAGGGGTTCGCTGGTTCGGATGCCGGCTGTGGACACAGCATCGCTTGGCAAGCCATGCTGTGGTAGGCGTCCCACGTATAAAGTAGAGGAAGATGGGCATGGATGTTAGCTCAAGGTCAGTCTTCCTCAGCAAAAAAAAAAAAAAGAGGAGGATTGGCAGTAGTTAGCTCAGGGCTAATCTTCCTCAAAAACAAAAACAAACAAAAAAACCCCACAACTGTGCCTTCATAAGGGCATAAAAAATAAAAGAATTATCCAACCCTCACACTCAGCTATATCACAGATTGTGTCTTTAAAATATACTCACACTGCCCTCAGGCCTTGCCATGGAAATAGATTTGCATAAATCCACTTTATGACAGGTCTTTTTGTTACACCAGTTAAAAATTCCCGTGAAAAGGGTCCAAGACAGACAAGACTTATGCCAAATAGTGTTAAGGTGAAGTTTCAATATATCATTATAACCATTTCATATAATTTATTTCTATCATAAATATCAGGTAATTTGCTAACTCTGTTTTGGTTACACAGCCATGATACCTTCATCTCCTCTTCATCAGCACATTGGCAAGGTGACAGATTTATGGACCCTCAGTATGTGTCAAGCACTGTGTTCTATAAACATTATCTTATTGGATACTTGCTACATTATTAGGTATATTGTATTATCTCTACTGTACAGAAAATTGATGCTCAAACAGTTAAGTCAGTTGCCCAAGGACATACAACTTGTAAACAGCAGAGCCAGAACCTGAGCCCAGATCTACCCGACTCCACCATCCAGATCCTAATACCACTACTACCCATCTTCCAACTTCTGCAAAGCACCATCTTGGATTCCATCAGATCAGTATGAAACCACGAGGAGACTCCAGAGTCTTGAGAAAACTCTAGGACATGCCAAATAGGAAAACAAGGACATTTCCTACCATAGGAAGAATGAAATACTTTTTTGTTAATCTCTCACTTTTTAGCCTGAATTGCTTGAACTTCACACTCACAGGGGGAAGAAAAGGCTGATATATTTTATTGCCATTTGTTCTCTTCCTAAGATTTTCCTGGACAATTTAAGATGGTCTTTTGATCCAGAATCAAGTTCTTCTGCTACCCATCCAAAATTTCAACATGCCTGTTTTGTACAGACTGCACCAAAAGCTTCAGGACATAATTCACACGTAAAAAGTATAATACTGAATATGAAAATCTGAAATACACACTGCATAAGTAATGACAGTAAAAAGCCAATGATATTTTAAAGATATTTTAAAGATTTAGTATTTATCATTGTAACACAGCTTTTATGTTTGATGTTATATGAAGCTATGAGCTCACTTCTGAATCAATGCTATTTTATTGCTTGCTGTTATATTTATGGAATGTTACTCTGAACAAAGCAGAACAGGCCAAGTCTATTCCCAACATAACCTATAAATAATGTAAGTAAATAAACTAAGCAAATCTTCATGCAGCAATGTATTATTTACTATTCCTTGTTGCTGAAATATGAGTTTAAATTTTGGTTACATATTAATGTAAGATCTTAGCCATTTCTAGGTCTCCCTGGGGAGTCAAATCCTAAAGCTTAACTCAGAATTAACTTTGCCTGCCTTCTCAACTCTGTAACTGAAAGCCACACTCCTCTCCAGGGTCAGGAACCAGAAGCTAGACCATGGAATCACTCAAACTTTAAGTTTTAGAGTGTTTTTAATGATTCATTCTTTCACACATTCATTCAAAAACTATTAGTTAAGTCCTACCACAGTGCCAAGCCCTGTTCACATTAGGATATCACAGTGAACAATACAGGTAAGGGTCTCTCTACAGATCACAGCCATAGAGGAGTAGAATCAGACAGCAAACAAGTACTAAACAAATAAACAAGATAATTTCAGTAGTAATGAAGAAAATAAAAGAGAGTAATATGATAGAAAATGATGGGGTCACTTTAGAAAGGGAGGTTAGAGAATGTGCCTCTAAGAAAATAACATTTGAGCTAAAGCACCCTAAAGAAAGACTAATACCTTTTATCAGAGTTTCTCCTTCTTCTTCCCCCTCCACCTCCTTCTTTTTGTCTGTTTAGTACCAGTTAAGAGCCACTGATACATGAGGAAGGGGGCAGTTCAAGCCCCGGTGAGAAAACATTCCAACGTCAGCTGGGGTGGAGTCCTCCTAGAGAAAGGAGATGAGGATAATGTTAGGTCAGTGCCATGGATGGACAGCCATCTCCCACAGAGGACAGTGATTCAAAATGATGCCTGGGGACACAATTCAGTGGCAAAAGATGATTCAGTGCAGGGGGTGGGTCTTCTGGGGAGATCATAACAGAAGTAGGCGTGAAAAACCAGAGTTGCAAACAAACCAAAGGTGAGTGAAGCCATGGGTGACTTGGGTGGACTGAGGAGGAAGGGGCTGGGTTACAAGGTAAAGAGACACTACTGAGCTGAAGGCAAGATGTCCCGACCTAGAGGCCAACCAGACTTCATTACCACCTTCATTCATTCCTATGTGATCCCTGCGTGGGACCACTCACAGAAAAATTGGTCTCCTCACAGCCCCAGGATGCTGGAGGTCTTACTTTTATGAGAGGGTTGTCCTCATCTCCTAACCATCATTGAAAGGTTCTACAGCTTCACCATTCATCAATATTGCCTCTGATTGACTTAATTATCTGATATTAAAAGGCCAGAAAAGATGTCTAGGGGTTTCCCAATCAATGTCCCGCCTCGAGACAGAATAAATGAACAAACTACCCAGGACAGAGATTAAAAGCTTAGCTAGATGATCAGGCCCTAAGCAAATTTGTGAACAGGGGAGAGTTACCTTTCTACTTACAATTATAGCACACTTCATTGCGCAAGGTTAATGGACCTTATTTTCCTCATGCCTAACATTTATTCAAGCTGTCTACACCTGTTCTCTCTATTAGGTTGCCCCCTCAGTAAAATACCAGGTGGAAAAGACTATAATAAGTGAACTCATTCTACATAGTCAAGGACCCAAAACAGTTTAATGCTAATCAATCGTAACCCTTATTAAAGATTTACCCATAGGATGGGAGTGGGATGGAGACGGAAGAACTGTTGCCATCTACCAAGGACACTAAATAGGAAATTAAAGGAAGGCCAGGTAAGAAAGGCACAAGAAATTGATTTATTTTTTATTGACATGTACACAAGTATGCTTATCATAAATATACAGGTCGACGAAATTTTCAAAAACTGAACACGCTCATGTAACTCAGCACCTAGATCAACAAACTGAGCATGACCAGCACCCCCCTCACACTCCTTCCTGTCATTCCTGCCCCCAGGGGCAACCACTTCCAAACATCTAACACCACTGAAGAGTTTTGCCTGTCTCTGAGCTTTATGTAAATGGAATCATAGAGTGTACTCTTTGTGTCTGGCTTCTTGTGCTTAACATTATGTTTGTGAGATTCGTTCATAATGTTGCGTGTACTTACAGTTATTCATTCTCATTGCTACAGAGCATAAGAAGTCATCTTGTAAATGTCAATATTTGACCCTCAAGACTGAATTCCTGCTTAAAGAGGAAAAATATGAACTCATCCCAAGAGTAAAATTAACTCCCTTGGCTGAAATCATTTTTATTTTGTTCATTGAGCACTGAGCTCATAATTAATTCTCTTAGACTTTCTTATTTAATTTGAAATTTACATCTGAGCTACTCTTAACATCAGGATACAGACAGATGAGTTCCAGTCACAACCCTTTCCCACTACCTAAGGAATGAAGCCAAGCTGTTCTCTTGCTCCAATTTTATTTCCTCTCTCACAAGTAACTCTGCTTGAAGATACACCAAGAACAGCTGCCAGTGACTTATCCTCTGGGACACTCATCCAGCTCAGCCAGTCAGTCAATTGTTGGCATTTGTTCACAGGGGGCTAACATCAGAAAGTGCTTGTGATCAGTATCGGGGCAATTCTCTGCCTAGAAAACACATACACACAAAAGCCTGGGCTACTATGCTCTCTAATTCCCGAGCGTGTGCTTTTGTCCATTCTGTCAGCTTACCTCTCCTAAATAACCTGCCCCACATCAGACACCTAGGGCATGGTGGCATCTGACCAAGAGGCTCCCAGTTCTCACTTGACTGCAAGTCATTTCTAATTTTTGCTGGGACAGCAGTGAAACGTAAAACGAGACAACTGGAAGTTCACATCTGTTTGACTTTAGGCCTCATGCCAGGTCTGGCAGGAAATGGTCATGGCCAGCCTATGAAAATTTCAGCATCTCGAAAACCAAAGAGTTCAAAACAGCAGAACATTTTCAGGGCTGTATGATATTCACGGTTCAGTATAATAGCCTGTAAAATCCTCAAAGGTCTTCTAAATTGGTGGGAGAAAAACACATTTACATTTGGAATAGGTTTAGTGCCCTTTGCCCACACTGAGAGGCAGTGTGGGGCACTAGAAAGAGCACCATATTCTAAGTCAGATATGAGAGTTGGAGCCTTGCATCACTAGCTCTGAGACCAGTGTCTTTTAGGAACTTCACAGGCCGTAGGCCTCTTCCTTTTGGAGACTGACCACACATCATTTCCCAGCCAAAGGGCTTTTTATTTTTGAGGAAGATTAGCCCTGAGCTAACTACTGCCAATCCTCCTCTTTTTGCTGAGGAAGACTGGCCCTGAGCTAAGAGCTGTGCCCATCTTCCTCTACTTTATATGTGGGATGCCTACCACAGCATGGCTTGCCAAGCAGTGCTATGTCCGCACCTGGGATCCAAACCAGCAAACCCGGGGCCGCCGAATTGGAATGTGTGTACTTAACCGCTGTGCCACCAAGCTGGGCCCCCAAAGGCTTTTTAATCTAAACTTTATAAGTTGTTCTTACTGTCCAACTTTTTTCTGTGTGTGGGGGGGGGAACGTTGGTAATTTGAGTCTAAAGGGAAGTACTTGGGAGTTAAGCATCTGGGCTTTCAGGACGCTTTGGGAAGTCTTACTTCCTGGAGTATATTTGGAAAAATATTATCTAATAGAGAATTGGCCCATTCTCAATAAGCTGACTTTCAATTCTTGGGTAAAAAAAATAAAAATTAGGCAGAGGCAAGACATAATGCCAAGCAGACAAGGCAATGTGTGTCTACTATCTCATTTGGTCATTTTAACATTTTTAATGATTTTTTTCTTAATTTTGAAAGGAACATGTGCTCATTGTAACAAGTGATACAATCTAACAAAGCATAAAGAAAAAGTTATGCATCTCCCTCTTCATTTCCCTCCATTCTCACCCTCTTCCCAGAGAAAGCCAAAATTAACAGCCAGCTGTATACTCTCAAACCTTTCTCTATGTATATAAAATATAGATATTAAAATTGGATTAGGGGCCGGCCCTGTGGCCGAGTGGTTAAGTTTGCACACTGTGCCTCAGCGGCCCAGGGTTTCGCAAGTTTAGATCCTGGGCGTGGACATGGCACCACTCATTAAGCCATGCTGAGGTGGTGTCCTGCATGCTACAACTAGAAGGACCCACAACTAAAAATACACAACTATGCAGGAGACAAAGGAAAAATAAAACCTTTAAAAAATATATAAATAAAGTTGGAGTATACTCTTCACATAATTTTGCAGTTTGCTTTCTTCCCTTTAACTACATTATGGATATCCCTCCAAGCCAATAAACAGATGGAATTCAGTCTCTTAAATGACTGCATAAAATTCCAATGTATGGATCTTCTTATTCAATAGCTCTGTTGATGGAAAGTAAGGTTGTTTCCAGTTTTCTTGTTTGTTTGCCAATAAAAGCAATGCTGTAATAAATATTAGTATACATGTCTCTACACACTGGTGCTTTATTTCTATTGGCTGGAATCCCACACACTTTGCAAGGTCAGAGCTTAAAGACATTATTCATTTTAATAGATATTGACATAATACTTTCTTTAATCCATTTGGACTTTATTTTTTGTATGACAAGGTAAGGATTATAAATTTTGTTTTCTCCCACACGTGTAGCCAATTTTTCCAGCATCATGTATTAAATAAACAACCCTTTTAATAGGTTGCAATGCCAAGTTTGATATATGGTAAGGTCTCATAGACAGCTGCAACTTTTTCTGGAGTTTCTACCCTGTTTCACTGATCTATTTATCTGATTTGATGCCAAAACTAAACAATTTTGATTACAGTGGCTCTAAAGTTAGTTTTAATATCTAGTAAGGTGAGTATGTCTTCTTCTTCTTCTTTTTATTATTTTCTTAACTATTTTAAGATAACATTCCATTTGAACTTTGTTATTTTATTCAAATAAAATCCCATTGAGATTTTGAGTGAAATTACAAATACGTTTACTAATTTTGAAAGAAATGAAAATTTTACAGTTTTAAGTCTTCTACATAGATGATTGCATGTCCCTCCATTTATTCAATAAGACTTTTTAGGGTGTTTTTAGGGGATACAAATCTTATAAAATTATTCCTATATATTTTAAATTTTTGTTGCTATTATAAATGGAATGTTTTTTCAAAGTCTATTTCTAGCTGACACTAGTAAAACAAAAAAATTACAGATTTTGTATATTTATCAAATATCTAAACACATTATCAATAGCTCTTATCAAATCTAATTTTTTTTTTAAGATTGGCACCTGAGGGGCCGGCCTGGTGGCACAGCAGTTAAGTGCACACGTTCCACTTTGGCAGCCTCAGATTTGCCATTTTGGATCCCGGGTGTGGACACGGCACCGCTTGGCAAGCCATGCTGTGGTAGGCGTCCCACATATAAAGTAGAGGAAGATTCTGGGCATGGATGTTAGCTCAGGGCCAGTCTTCCTCAGCAAAAAGAGAAGGATTGGCAGCAGATGTTAGCTCAGGGCTACTCTTCCTCAAAAAAAAAAAGATTGGCACCTGAGCTAACATCTGTTGCCAACATTTTCTTTTCCTTCTTCTCCCCAAAGCGCCCCGGTACATAATTGTATATTCTAGTTGTGAGTGCCTCTGTTTGTGCCATGTGGGACACCACCTCAGCATGGCTTGATGAGTGGAGCCATGTCCGTGTCCAGGATCTGAACCAGCAAAACCCGGGGCCACCAAAGCAGAGTGTGTGAACTTAACCACTCAGCCAGGAGGTTGGCCCCTAATTTTTCTGGTTTTCTTTTTCTCTACTTTATATGTGGGACGCCTACCACAGCGTGGCCAGCCAAGCGGTG